GTTAGCTGTGGACTGACCAGCTGAACCCATATTATTCCTGCTATTCTGCAGGCCTTTGTACCACAAAACCAAAAACCTAGTCGCTCACAAGCATCATCCTATGACTGAGTAGAAATTAAAACCTTTCAGTTAAGATAGTTAAACAGTTACTCTTAAGACCATTGTATACCTTGAACCCAGCCCATGGCAGGTCAAAACTGTAACAGGACTGAATTTATCATCTTTTAAAGGAAATATATGGGAAGAAATGAAAGATGACAGCTTCAATCTAGATACCTTAGGTGCCTTCAGCAACTCCCCTCTCCAGCTCTCAGACTGTGACCTGGGCACGGCTGGCCTCACCCCCGTCTCGAGCGGTAGTGATTATTCCTTCTCAGACTTACAGGTCACAGGCCTCTACACTACTTACGCCACGCTGGATAACGTAGCCTCATCCCAGTACATGAATGGTCAAGGCAACAAGCCCATTGCTCTGCTTTAAGATTCACACATGTGAGGACCTAAGTAACTCATCACAGGCCTATTCCCTTTGAGGCCTTAGGATAGGATCTGAAAGCTGGAAAGCAGCTCCTTCTGCAGACCCCTGCATCATGCAAGGTATTTACCAGAACTCTCAGTGTGATGCCAAAATGTATCAAGCCAGTACTAGCACGGGGTTTGTGAACACACCTCCCTCGTCATCTTCACTGAGATCAAAAAGGATTTTGGCTGTTGTGATACAAGAACGGGGAGCTGACAAAACGGAGCGTGGAGTGCATCAGTTAGGAAAAACTTTACTAGAACAATTCACACACGAGTCACATTATGTTTGAACGTAATCCAACCCTCAGAACTAACGTCGAGTGCAGGACTGACATGCAGATTCCGTCTGACCACAATATACACAGGAGCCCATGCACCAGCTCACTGCTCCAGCGGGCCGAGTCAGAGATTCCGAGAACCACCTGACCTTATGTATTTGTTTCTTTTTTTCCAAAGAGCCAAATAACCGCAGCCAAACAAACAGAGATCACATGCCGTTTCTGGAAACGCTTGCAATGCCAACACCTTTCTGATGCAACTGTCTTTAAATGTATTCTCTGGGGGGGGGGGGGGGGGGGGGGGGGGGGGGGTTAAGCAGAAATTTTTTAAACAAAACCCCAAATTTTTTTTCCTAGGGCGTAATAAAAAGGGGGGGGGGGGGGGCTGACCACATGAAGGAAGTAGTAGGGCTGAATTATTAAACTGATCACTGGAGTGGAATTTTAGGAATGACACATTTATCTTAGGCTTAAAAAAAAAAAAGATTAGGTTTGTTACAATAGTTCCTGTGTATTGTGCTTCTGTTGAGTCTTGTGCTAGGCAGTATTACTATTTGTAAATTTATTTATATTTATTGTTCTGAAGAGAAAAGAAATTATGTAAACTGAGCACTGTTCAATTTTTTTTTAAATACAGTAACTCTTTATTTGCATGAACTAAATTATTCATAATCACAAATGCAACACCTTATTTTAAATCACTTTTGTAGTACTTCGGTTTCATTTTGAAAGCTGAATTTAAACAAGCACTTTTGATACTGTGAAACACCTTTAAAAAAAAGTCAGACCAAATATTTTTTTTACTGTACAGTACCAATTCATAATTGTCTTTTTTCCTAATTAATCTAAGCAAAATTGATTCTTACCATGCATTTTTTCTGTAAACTTTTGAAAACTAATATGTATTTGGTAACATTTTAAAATTGGATTTGAAGAAACAGTTCAAACGACGAGTGATGTAAAGCAAATTGTAAGAATTACACTTAAATGTAGTGTTTAGGTTTTTGTACCTCTGTGACATTGAAGTAATATTTATTATTATTTTTTGTTTTGCTTATCACTGTGCCTCGATAACAATTTTACACTTCCTTATAATTGTACCAACGTTGTACCGACTTAGATTCAGATGAAACTCTTCCCTACACTAAATTATGACTAAGAATGTTTTGAAGCAGAAAAAGGCCCCACTAATTTTTCAGTACACAGATTTAAACAAGAAAAAAAATAAAACAGTCAGCCTTTGCTAAATTCTATATACTGATACTCTGGGAAGATGAAGAATGCAGGATCTTATCCCACTGCAAGGTCTAGTGGTACTTTCTTGTTGAAAATCAACATTGTGAAAATGAGATGTGATAATGTCTTATGCGTATATATCTTTTCAAATATGCACGTAAGTAATAACCTCTTCTAAAGTGGCATGATGCTCCATGTCATAATTTATTGTTTAAATCAAGTCCCATTTAGAAAACAAAATAATGTGGACATTGATCATTTGATGTAAGTGGTATCATTTAAGATGTTTTAATTTTTTAATAAATATTTCTTAGTGCTAACCCTAGGTTATTTTAGATGGACTGTGTTAAAATTAGTCTGGTGTACATAAAGCCACGTTCAAAGGGTACTTTGCAGCTAAGTGTTAAAAAGCAACGGCCTGGAAATTGCTATCTGAATATTACCTGGTGGAAAATGGTTTTATCTGATTTAATAATGCAGTAAGCTCAGAAAATGTTGATCCTAGATATACTGTCTAAGTTTGCTGCAAATGACTAGAAACTTCTCTTGAACATGAGACTGTACTTTATCTGAAGAGCCCACCACTATAGGAAAACAGTCGTGTCCCTCATTTCTACTATCCACACAAATTAAAACAGTTTACTTCTATACAGTACCTTTCATCAAACGTCAAACATAATACTACGCCTTGAAACCCACCATGACATCCATTGGAATCACTCCCATTTTACAGCTCGGAAGAGAGGGGCACAGAGAGCGGAGTGGCTCGTTCTAGGTCATTCAGCAAGCCATTTTTGCAGAGCCAGGAACAGAATCCAGGAGTCCTGGCTCCTAGTCGCTTGCTCTCTCCAGATGGGGGGGGTTACAAAACAGGCTAACAGTTGAACCTATTTAGAATTTTCCTGAAATAGAAATAGATGTAAATATGTTGCTTTTTCCTCCTCTCCCCCTTGCCCCCCAGTTCAAACCTCCCTTGAGAATAACACTTTTAAAAGGCGTATGTATCATGTACTTTCCTCCACAACCCACTTGCTGTGGAGAATCTTTGCATCTAAATTCACCTGCAGCCACTGATGTTTGTGTAGTTCCTCTTCTCACAAAAGAAGTCCCGCAATCCATTGTGTATGAAAACAGATTTTGAAAAGATGAGCTGTTGAAATCAGGTTAAATTGGAAGGGGCTGAACGTTACCACTGGACCACTCTTCGGAGGCCTGTGTGAAAGTCACTGCCTCACCCCCCTCCTCAAGTGTCACTGGCTGCCCGACATTCCAGCAAAATGGCTCCTGAGACCACGATGGAACTGGGTTCACATTCCTGAAAAGCCATTCAGGCTCCAACCTCAGCTACCTCTTCACCTCCCTGTGCCTCAGCCAATCCACCTAGAAGAGATAGGTGACATCAGAACTTCTCTGCAAATCAGATGCTGTATCTAACAGGTGCCCCAGGGTTAGTAAGTGACAAGGAAGGTTTTGGATTGGGGCAGGGGGTGGGGGAAAACAGTGTTTATGTTTAATTGCTACAGAGCATCACACAGACCACTGTTGCCACGTTACTTACCCAAGGTCTGGTCACCACATAGTCCTTTCTCCAGATGGTTCATCAGAGGACACTAGATGAACGTCACTCTGGTGTTTTCTGCAGCAGTTTTAACAGCAGCAAGTTTTCTATCCAGTAAAGGGCCTATGCACCCTATATTTCCCTACAAGTCTTTTCAAACATACTCCTACTATCTAGTGCCGGTGCTATAGTTAGGCCTCTTGCTCTCCAGGCACCGAAATCAAAAGAGAGTTTAACCTGAGTAAGGACTGCGGGTTTAGCCCTAAATGAATGCTGCAAACAAGCATACACAGGGTTTCATAATTCTGCCTCAATTACACATGCTTCCCCTATACTGAGAGTTACATTTAAACAAAATTTCAGAAGCTGACAACTAAGCCAAGGAAAGCCATTAAGTTCAGCCTGACGCTTGAAACGTTGATCGCATCCCAAGCGCTAAGCCTGTACAAGTACCAGCTACGCAACTCAGCAGCTCTGTACTGAACACCAGTGCAATGTTAGTTACAGGGAAAATACAATGGAGCTAAACTCCCATTTTTCAGTGCGAGTTGGGCATCCAACTCCTTTAAACATCTTTGAAAATCCCAGACATACAGTATTTCATACAAATCGTATTCAGTTTTCATTAAGAGACAGAGGGTTGCTGAGGGTAACTCGCCAAGCTGCCACAATAAAGTATTCCCCAGTGTGCACAGTAACATGTGCTATTGGCTTTCACTGGTTTTAAATAGGCTTTGACATTGCATTGGTGGTGATGGAACAGAGTTCATCCCTAAATTGGGTGCAGTGGAGGGCATTCCATCATGCACGGGGTTTGCAAATATTCATGTTTTAAGAGATTTTATTTTGTAAGATTACTGGAACTATAGCTAGTTTAATAGCAGAAGTCTTCTCATAGGTTACGTACAGAGTAATCTAAAAGAATCATTTACTCTATGGTCTACCCCCACCCAAGCTATCCCAGAATGCCCTTTTTCCGATCAAAAACAAGTGTTGCAGTGCAGGCCCCAGGCCATGCATCATCAAATGAAGTTCCTGCAAAATCCCCAATCCACCCAGGTAGAAAAGGGGAAAAAAAGACACACCCACACCCTGATACATGACTGAGGCAACTTGGCAGTAGCATCCTTGCTTCCCCACCCCACTCTAACACAACCGGGTTAGAAAGAACCACAACCGGGCATTTCCACACTAACAGCAGGAGCTGGAAACCGTAAAGCTAACCAACTTGCATAGCTCTCTCGTGGCCGAGCAGGGGCTTGTGTATGAACACATTGCTCCAGGAAAGCGAGCTCCATGTCACTTGCTGGCAGGCGTTTCTGCTCTGCGCATTTAATGCAATGAGAGGATACAGGTCATAGAACCTCTGCATTTAGTATAAAGGCAAAGAAACAGAAGTCAGAATCCTCCCTGAAAAATGTCGTCATTTTATTTGGAGCAGTTGGGCTGAATTTCCCAATTCTCCTTCCATACAGTGAGTTTTGTTAACAACACATCCTCCTCTCTCTGACAAAACTCGTTCAGGTGTAACACCTTTCAAATCAGGGAACTTTTAAAGTCTCTCCTGCTGCCCTCCTCTCAATAAAATACACAATACATTCTTTTTGGAAAAACCTCACCACTGGCATTGCATGTAGTAAGTTGTTTCATCACATTCCCTAGCCCACTGTGTGCACAGCTGTCCTGTGCGTCTCTTTGGTTTTGTCAATATTTGGTTTAAAATCAACTGACGGGATCTGTAACATTGCCAAATAATGGCTTTAACACTGTATTTAAACCAGGTAACCTATTCTATTCCCATAAGGCCATATCTAAGAGCCGTAAAGCTGTATCTTATTCTTATGATTAAAGATTACAGTGAGACATGGTACATGTATTGTCATGAGGTTATGCAACCCAGGACAGTCGAAGGATATATGTGACCTGAGGATTTATTTTTAAAATGGCAAAAGGGTGGATCACCACTATTATGCAGTTACATTAGGCAAATGGATTTGTTACCCTCCATGCTACCACAATAGAACAAGGCACAGTAAGATCTAAATCATTGCTTTTACTAAACTAAATAGTTTGAAGTGTGTGATATGTTACCTTAATTCATGAGGTCAGGTTAACCACTGACAAGATCAGGTCCACATGTGCTTTCCCGCCCCACTCCAAATAGAGTGTACGTGGGTGGGTGGGGAAGCAGGTGCAGACACTGGAATAATTCCAAGGAATTCCAAGATGAAATGGAAGGGGACACCAATTAAAGAAGAGATGGAAAATTCAACTGCCCCTTTTCATTCCCTTGTTAGAACTGGGGCTGTTTAACAAATCCTGCACTGACAACTGTGTTAACAGCTGCAAACTTGGTGTCCTGACCACAAATAAAATGAAGGACAGGTTGAAATGTATGGCTCTGTCGAAACCTTCCCTGGAATCCCTGACCATGCTCCAAGAATTATTTCATAATCACCTCTACTAAACACTGCCATAGCAGGGGAATGAAGAGGCTCTCCAATGGTTTTCTAGTGGTTAGCGTGAATGTTTTTCCAAAACACAGTTTTCTCTTGTTCATTAAAAATAACACCATTTTCTTATTATGCTGGCAGATGTTTGGCAACAACAAACATTAGTACAAAAATATTTCTCTTTCTGGCTATTATACAGAGTTTGATTTCTACTCCCAGCTCCATTCATTCTAATGAAATGTATCTCAACATTTTACTGGGTTTACAATAAAAAAAATAAACGATTTTAAATTCAGTTATAAAATGACCACGGGGCCCATCCCTACCGGCTTTGTTCTGGAGACAAGGCTCCTGAGGTCAATTTGGGTTGAATTTAAATCCCACAAAAATGCCACTGTAATGGATTTGTTTTTTTAATTGTCCCCACAAATCCAGGATGAACACGGTGTTCACAGAAAAGCTATTTTTATGGTTGAAAATGCAGCAATGGCATCATTTATTGAGAGACTTCAGTAGAGTCTAAGGCTTCAACACTAGGGTCGAATACACGCAGGCAAGAAGACATCTGGTCTCAAAAGGAGTGGTTTCTCTCTGTGCGCTTCCTTGTCTATAGTGATTGTTCCTGGCAGCCCCACTTGCGGCCTCTCTGTCAAGAAGGGGGCGGGTTATCCATGGTAGATAAGAGACGAGTGATCTGGGTCCTCTGTGCACGGGTGATGTGCTGAGTCATGTGAATCATGCAGTCCAGGGCCACCTCTGGGTTTGCTTGAACCAAGCTACATTGGACACAAGAAGGGAAGGAGAAGGGTGGCATCATTTAATTACTGGCAGAGAGCTGGGCATTGTACATGACACACAGAAAGACAGCTTCTGCTCTAAAGCTCTTATAATCTAAGCAAGAACCATCCAGTGCCTCCTACACACTATACTCAAACTGTGGTGAAATCATCTATTGTGGCCATTTATACCCAGGAGTATTAAACGTACTACTCAGTTACTTTTAACCAAGCAACACCCAACTTCCTCCAGTAAGAGGCCGGAGCACTCCATGTACTCACGTCCGGATATGTCTGAGGGCGTAATCCCGTTTCAGATATTTGATGTTTTCTCGAATGGCTGATCGGGAACCCTCCTCTTCTTGCAAGTGTTTCTCCAGCCATTCCACCACCGCCTGGTTATTGTCCCAGAGATAGCCCTAGAGAAAACAACAAGAGCATCTTCGCATACTCCTGGGAGAGAGGTGGGTCCTACAAAGTCATCCAATCCATCTTCTTTCCAGTGCAGGGTTACTCCTGATTGTACTGTCAAATCCAGTTTTAGACTATTCCAGGACATACAGCCTTCCTTGGGACACTATTCCTCGTACCAACAGATCTTACCCTCACATATCTTTTAAGGCCCGCGCAGGTCCTGAAAGCTGAAGCAGTTATGCAAACAATGTGATGCCTTAATTTGCATAGCAGGTGACTATGCAATGCATCATTTGCATAATTCTACTCCCTCTCCCAAAGATTTCCGTCTCACTTCCCCTCTCTCTGCCTCTTCCCCCAGCATTACTGTTCTGTCAGGTTTCTTCCTCCCATTTAATATCCCCCCCAGACATCTGGGCTAGTTCCCCTCTTCCCCCCCCCAGATGTATTGGTTTGCAGTTTTTCAGTTGATTCTTGGTTTCTTATTAATTTATTTTCCCACTTTTCCTATTCTCTTTCGATGGTTCTGTAACCCCCTCACCTCCCATCCTTACTGGTATTTGCAACTCCTCTCTTCTCAGTGTATTTCATGCTCCACATTCCCTCTTCCTGATCATTAAGAAAGATGTTAAATAAAACCTGAGCTAAACAGAGATCCCAAAAGTACATCACTAGACCCCCTCCCTCAACTCCGCATGACAGTGTTCATAGCTAAGGCCAAGCAAAGTCAATTGGTGGAGCAAAACTTCACGAGGTTGTAATCAACTGCTTTACTCAAAACTGAATATCCTTGAATCTTACATCGAATGTATCTCACGTTCCCTTCATCTACTAATTCCATCATTTCATCAAGCACTTCAGTTTGTTTAGTGAAACTTATTCTGAAACTCATGTAGTTTACTGCTTAGGGTTCTGTCTTTCCCTAGATGGTTAGTGGTTCTATTTCTCTTAGTATTGGTTCTATTATTTTACAAGGGACAGAAATCAGACTTGCAGGGTAGTAACAGCCACGATTGTCAATTAACTTAAAGTTCATAAGTCATGACTTAGAGAATTTTTATTTAAAAGATAAATTAAAAAAATACAACAAAGAAGCTTGAAAGCACCGGCATGCAATCTCTTCTTTCTCCACTGAGAGACGCTGCTTCAAGATAAAGAGATCAACCAAGGGACTTCTTTTTTTGCGCCATTTTGTTTAAGTTTGATGATCACTTGCATCCAGTGTAGGTCACCTGATCTGAAGAACCGTGCTTGGATTTCAGTGGCCATTCACCATGGCAGGAACGTTACTCAAGCTATGGAACAGTAACTCTGATCACGTTTCAGCCAAACTCAGGAAGTCAACTGAGCGTGTGCACGTGTGGGGAAGCACGGCAGGCTGTCGTTGGACAGTACTGGAGACACTGAGAAAACAGACTGCAAATCAGTAACATGAGAAGCTGAAATAGCCAAGATGAAGAGATACCTTCACAGCTCCTTCCGTCTCCATGAACCAGCGGCGCAGCATGGACTGGATGTGAATGTTGCTGAGCTCACTGTCCGCATTCAGAATCTCCGTTTTCACCACCTCCTCCAAAAGGAGGCGCCGCAGACGCCAATATAAGAACGTACGGGCGTTCTTCCACTCAAGGATATCCTGGGGTGACGGAGGGAAGAGAGTTCAAAATTTAGGCTTGTACAGGAAATGCTTTGGGGATGGCGGAGATGAGGAAATAGCTGAAGTTCAGGATACTGGTACACTCTATTTGTCTGGACAAAATATTTGGGATGGGCAGGGTGTATCCTTGCAATCTGCATCTCCAGAGAGATTCCCCATTGTGACTTCCCCCTGCTTACAGACATGCTGCCCTTCTGAAAAGTAGCATCGGAATCAGAGGTATAACCTCTGCTGTTCAAACTCTGCAGGGACAGCAAGACTCTCTCCAGCAGCACAATGCAACGCCGATCAGAATTCCTTTCCACACAGCACAGCGCTCTAACAGAGCCCGACACTGGAGCCAATGGGGTTCTAGGTGGGTGCTGCGGGGTTCACTCCTACACTAGGAGTTGCGGAGACTGGGGCCTCAGAAATACCAAGTCAGAAGCATTGGTGCTGTCATGTCACGCAGCAGCAATCTACTTCCGTGCTCCTGCCCATCCGTGACAGGACAGGGTCTCACCCACATCAGCCCTGGCGCTGCCCTCTACAGTAATGAGATTTTTTTCTTTAAAATGCCTTGACCATGTTTTCTAACGCTGAATCATCGGGGTTGTTACATTTCCCCAGTATCAGCACAATAAAAGCTGAAAGCAAAGCGCTGTCGCTTAACTGCAATAACGCCCTTCTCGTGCATTCTTCCTGGCGTGTCGTGAAGGTCAGCAAACTGCACTGCCACCTGGTGGAAGATGGGTAACAGGAGCTCTTCCCGAGCTTTCAGCTGCTTCTCCAGCTCTCTGTGATCCTCTTCTAGGAGTTCTGGGGTACCTGTTTTCCAGGAAACAAAGCAGCTGTCAGTCTGGATTTGAGTTCAGTTACCTGCAAGCCAGACTGTAAGAGAGCAGCAAATTTTAAACTAAGAACAACCAAGAAAGGGTTAAAAATTCTCCTTTAAAAATAAATAAATAAATAAAAACGAAAACCCATGGACTTAACTACTGTACTAGTGACTTTAAATGGGAGTTTGTAGTTTATACACTGACACAAATGTGCATGGCACTCTATAGAAAAATAAGGCACTGTCTCTGTCCCAAGGAGTTTCCAAGCTAAAGCTATGCCTAAACAGACTGTGTGAGTGCTTGTGCTTTACATACAGCATCTTTACAGTTTCCTAAGGTCTTAGAAACAAAAAGTAACTTAGAAGAAATAACATTTGTAGAGCTGATGATTGTTCTCCGAGGGCACGTGTGAATGGTGTGAAGAACAGATAGACAAGGCACTATGGACATCACAACCCCTTAGATTATTATTAATTTATATTCAAATAGTACGGAGTGGCCCCAATCAGGTCAGGCACTGTCCAGGATTCACTGTTAAAAGAAACCTCCACTGGCACCTAAACAGGATTTCCCAGACGGTCACTGCAGCACCACTATTTATCCATCTCCAGAGTTCATGCCTCATGCTTTAAGCTAGCAACGTAAACTGGAACAAAAGGGAAAGGGGGAAACAAATTCTCTTCTTACCCAGCTGTTCAACAAGTCTGGCATAGACTGAATCAATTCTTCTCATGGTCTTTATCAAATCCTTCCTCCTGAATTTAATTTCCACTGTTCCTTCAGCTTCTAAAATGCCTCCCCTAGAAAGGACGGAGGTTTTGTGATGCCAAGTTTGGTACAGTGGAGAGGTCTGTATGGGGAAAATACATTCTGGGAAGACTTTCCAGTTTTATATTATTTTCTGCAGAAATTTTGTTCTTATTGTTACAGTACAGAGGGTGTTTAAATTTGAGGATTGAGAGCAGGGACGTAGGAAATCTGCAAGGGTTTCCCTTCCCAAATCTGAGATTTCTGCAGCTTTCTCTTTTTAGCATTTTCTACTGTTTGCCCCTATGGTCAGTAGTTATCACCAAGTATTCACGAAGACAAAAGGAGGGCCATTAAAAATAAGAAGTTTATTTAGCCCAGCAATGCATATTGTTGGAGGACCAGTTATGTAGAATATCCAGCAAATTGTGCTGTGAGAGCCCAACAATTTTTAGCTGTTGGCTCATGAGTTTGGCAGGTTAACAAATCTCATAATGAGACCGCTGCAAATGAGTCTATGAACTCATAAAGGGATCACATAACGGGTTTGTATTTCGCCTGCAACGTGCCTCACATTTTTGGGTGTTCTGTATGTATTATTTCTAATAATAATGCAGGTTCTCTCCTAGTACTTGAAAGATCTCAGCAGATCACCAGTTACAGAGTTGTAGTTGTATAACTTTAAACAGGACACTGGTTAGGTATTGTTCAGACTTTTTGCAACAATTGCATTCACGATGACTGCCCTGCTTGAAAGTCAGGCAGAAATGTGGGTGAGGTGATATCTTCTATTGGACCAACTTCTGTTGGTGAGAGAGACAAGCTTTTGAGCCACACCGAGCTCTTCTTCAGGGCTGGTTCATTTGGTCCAATAAACACCTTGTCTCTTTAATATCCTGGGACCGTCATGGCTACAGCTACACTGCATAAAGCAGAAATGTGTTTTTTCCCAAGTGTAGTTTAGTTTTCTCTTCCACCCGTGGGCTGTTGGGAAGGATTTATCAGTGAAGAGAACACCATTCAAAGGCCCCCAGGCACGTGGCACGGAGAATACACACACTTTACAAGCACAGGAAAAGGAAGGTCACATTTTCATAGACTCACAGATTCCAAGGCCAGAAGGGACCATTGCAATCATCTAGTCTGACCTCCTGCGTAGCACGGGCCAGAGACCTTCCCCCAAATAATTCCTAAAGCAGAGCTTTTAGAAAAACACCTGGTGATGATTTAAAAATAGTCAGGATTGGAGAATCCACCATGATCCTTGGTAAAATTGTACCAATGGTTAATTACCCTCACTGTTAAAAATGTACCCCTTATTTCCAGCCTGAATTTGTCTAACTTCAACTTCCAGCCATTGGATCATGTTATACCTTTCTCTGCTAGATGGAAGAGCCCATTATTAAATATCTGTTCCCCATGTAGGTACTTATAGTCTGTGATCATGTCACCCCTTAACCTTCTCTTTGTTAAGCTGAATAGATTGAGCTCCTATCACTCTAAGGCATGTTTTCTAATCCTTTAATAATTATTGTTGGTCTTAGAATCCTCTCCAGTTTATCAACATCCTTCTTGAAGTGTGGACTCCAGAACTGGACACAGGATTCCAACCGTGGTCACACCAGTGCCAAATACAGAGGTCAAATAACCTCTCTGCTCCTTCTCAAGATTCCCGTTTATGCATCCCATGATCACATTAGCCCTCTTGGCCACAGCATTGCACTAGAAGCTCATGCTCATTTGATTATCTACCACAACCCCCACATTTTTTCAGTCACTGCTTCCCAGGATCGAGTGCCCCATCCTGTAAGTAGGAGCTACATTCTTTGTTCCTAGAGGTGTACATTCACATTTAGCTCAGCTGTATTAAAATACATGTTGTTTGCATGATCCCTGTTTACTAAGCAATCTAGATGGCTCTGACTGTTTTGGGCTCATCATCCTTGTCCAACCCTTAAAAAAATATTGAGAGACTGACTAGAAACTTAAGCCAAAGGCTATGGAAAAATGCCTAGAACAGTAGAGAGTTACAAGGAAAGTACCAGAACAGGAGACTCCAAAAAAACCCTGAGAAAGATATTACCTACCTGCTCTCCTTGTCTGCATAAAGCTCCATGTACACAGGGTTGATTGTTGGATCAATTACTACCCAGGACCCTCCTCTTAGCTCAGCATGTGGGGGGATGTAGACAAGAACTGGCTGTTTAAACTGCCTGAGGCTATCGACAATGTACGCACCGAACTTCAGCACCTGATCGTACATGTCTGAAAACCAAGACCTTTATGTTATCAATCATTTCTGGTAATGCCTCCTGCTCTGTGGAGCTACAGAGACACGCTGTGGGTTGGGTGACACATGCCAGGGAGAAGCGCCAGGTTTAATACTTCACTCCCTATCCCTTCTCTGGACCCCTGCACTTACCTCTACTCTAAAGTGCCCGTCTCTTCCAGGTGCCACCCTGCAGCCATCCCAGCTGAGGATGCCCAGCAGTTTGACTCTATAAAACCTGCTAGATTTCTTACTTAAGCAACCCAAAGCACTTCCCTCCCTGACAGAGACTGAGCAGGCTGCCTCCACAGTAAAAAATAAACCAAACAAAAGACACCCCAACCTGCAATGTGACACTAATGCAGCCCTCCCGTCCCCCAGCCATCAGCCCCTGCAGCAGCAGCCGTGCAGGAGAGCTACGCAGGAGGCGAATCTCAGAACAGCATCACACAGTCAGCATGCTCTCGGGGAAACAGCACTCCTAGAAATAGCAGCAATAAAGGGACATGCTGAGCTTGCTCAGGATCCCCATACTCCACGGAGGGCCACGTGGGATCACAACCCGGCTCTCCTCCCTGACTCCTGTTCAGCGAAGAGCGAATCACCTTTCATGCCACCGGAGAATCCCCTCCAGTTTGCAAAGATCAAGAGAGGGAGCTGCTCTCGGTCGAAGTCCCTTATAGCCTGGGCAGTTTTAAAAGCTGAATCTGGGAACCACACCTGCCCAGCCTGCTGGACTATCTGAAAGAGAGCGAGCAGGAGTGTTCAGTTCGGATTAGATCCCTCTTGGCAAACGAGGCTGGTAGGTCGACAAAGTACGGTAGTTGGAAGGTTTAAAACCAATGAAGGGACTCAGGGTAGTTGATTCCACCAGCCTGAAAGACGAGGAAGAATGGAGAAGCCAGAAATCCATACAAAAGGGTCATCCAGAGCAGGATTTTCTTCTAGCTTTACGATACGAAGCATTGCCACTGTACATACATTCACACTCCCCAATGGTTACCCAACATACCTTTGCTTCAGAATCCAGGTTTGCAGGGTCAGCTGGTATAACCATCTCCACAGTCCGGGTCTCCACTGCTACCACACCGATGGGGATCCCTCCCAATCTGCAGAGAGCCAGGGACCAGGTCAGTTTCTAAAGCAGAGATGAATTTTCACTTCTATCGAGCGGACAAGTTCAACTGGTCTCAAAGCAAGTCCAGGGGGCTTGCTTTCCCCACTGCTCAATAGAGCAACATAGGGGGGACACCACAGAACCCGTTCCCAGGAAGGCCCATCCCCCAGGAGGAGACGACGCAGCCCCAAGTTAATTAAAGCACTGCTTTGCTGAACGTCCGCTACCTTTTATACAGATAGTTTAGTGCCTACTCCTGCCTGATTTACCACTCAGACAGGAGCACAGACTTCAGTGGGAATCGGGATTCTGCACGTCCAGGCAGGAAATGGCTCTTAGTGTACACTGTTAACAGCTGGTTTAGGGAAGAGCCGCACTTTGTTATTACCTTGCTCTGCCAACTACAACTGTCTGTGCCCAGGGCTGCATGATCTCCATGAAAGTGCCATGATCAAAGAAGCCGCTCTGCCAGGTTCCCTTAACAACTGTGCAATGAAACAGAGCGTGTAACTGTAAGGTTATTTTGCTGACCAGTTCACAATAAACTCCCAGCGCACATTATATCAAACAGCAGTAAAATTCTGCGTACACAGGACTGGGAGGATTTTACAGCAACAAATACACGTAGGATGGGGAGACAGAATGGAGTTTTTGCAGAAGGTCTAGGTTAGAACACCCTTACTTACTTGGATGTGGTCTTCCTGCCAGCATCCATCTGGGATCGTAGGGGGCTTTGGAAGGGACAAAATCAATTTCTCGTTCAATGGGGTCACTTGTAGCAGTAACAGGCACTGGGCTACGATTGTCCTATAAGAAGAAAAATCTCTAACCCAGTTTTACCAAACAGCACTACAAAAATCTGCTGGACAATGTTCGTTCCCACTCTACCCTTTACCCTACTGAAATGCTATGTTAGGCTGTTACAGAAATAGCATTAATCCAGACTAATTCCCTTACGTATAATTATTCTTCCTTACGGACAATATTTCACATTACTTTCTACGATGCTCCTAGTGCATTAGATGGTGGCACAAACGCCTTCAAAACAGCAACTACAGAAGTAATTTCCGCACATAGAATGGATTATAAAAAGCTGTTGGGTGTTTGTGTTAAACACGGCATTGCATTAAATAAAATGTCACAGCCAACACATTGCTGTCCTGTCGGAGCTACTCACCTTTGGCATATACGAAAGCCACTGTAAGATGGTATAGACGCCCTCAAAGTCGTCTGGGACAGTCACATGGGAAACACCATTATGATGCATGATCTGCACGCCTCCGAGCTGGTTATTGGATGTGTAGACCTCACGCCCCAGGACCTAGTTAAAGTTACAAATAGAAAAGATTATCACCCCTAGAGTAAAGTAGCTGTAGACCTTATGCACACACAAACTTGTGCCTGTTTAGTTAAAACCAGTGCAAACCTCTGTGTAGACACGGTAATTTTAAGTGGCTTATTTTAATTTAATTTAAACCTATTCTTGACTGACTTAAGCTAAATTTTGGTTTTGTAAAGTAGGAGTGTCCACACTGCCTTTTGCATTGGTCTAACTAAATGGGTTTAAAAAAAATCTCTTCTTAAATTAAGCCGGCGTAACTCTGCATGCAGACAAGTTCATACACCTGCCGCACTGAACTAGCTGACTGAGCAAGGCACTCTGAATGCCAGCTCTGCCAATGACTTGCTCTGTGACCTTAACAAATCTCTCAACCTTTCTGTCTCAGGAAACACAGGGGAGAGGTGTATGGATTAATGTTTGTAGAGACCTTCAAATGCTGTGAATCACTTGTAATTCCCTTACTGATCTCTTGTACACATATTCCATGAATAACTCATCTGGTTTAAACACCTATCACATCCAGAGTACTGTGGAGTTTTTCTGTGTGAAATACTTAGTATCCATTATGGAATTTAGCAGGTGGGAGACAGCGAATGTCTCTGGTTGCTACAACCAAGAGTGATAAATCAGCACAGGAAAGGACAATTTTCAGGGGAAAATAAAATGATGGGTGGAACTAAACTCCTCGTTACCTTATTTAAAGCACTAGCCCCAGTGAGGATGATGTGGGAATTCTCCACCTGTATCACTCGCTGCCCTAGCCTCACCAGGTAAGCGCCAATTCCAATGGCACGACATGTCACCTAAGAGATGCAGACAAGGAAGACAAAAATTACTGAGGAAAAAGGGCTACATAATCATGAGGAAGAATCAACAGAACTCTACATTCTTTTGTACCAACCTGGAAGACAGGTAACGAAACGGCTGCTGCTAGTCTGTTTCATCTAAATGATACACCATTACCACAATCAAAGTTACTGAATGAAGACTGAACTCTGGCATTGTATATAATAACCTTCTTGTTTCACTCTGGTTTCAGGTTGCCAGCTGATAATGGCTAGTTCTGCTCAATATTCTGTTGAAAGTAGTACACCACTGGTGTTTTAGACCAGAAAATAAATTCTAAGCATTTCACAGCTTTAGCACACTTCATCTGAACACCAATAGCTAAGCTGGTTCATGGGGATTTCATAAATATTTGGCTCCACTTCACATGGCCAATCCTGAGCAGTCTCATCCTGTGTGGCTTTAGAAGCAAATGCCACAGGCGCCTCATGTGCTGGATAAGAGTGAAGGAGAATGGCTCATACAATCAGCTAATGATTCCAAAAGCCATACCATGCTAATGGTCACAATTTCATCATAAGCAATGGAGGACTCCCCAGCAATGGCACCAGAAGCTCTCAGGTTCTCCACACCGAACCCTTCATCTTTACCGATGATATCAGTTAGGACATACCTGTGGGGAAGCGGAAGAGACAATACAGAGCCAGAGAAGACAACAGAACGGGCTCATTTTCACAAGGTGCAAGGTAAGGCCTGGGACCCAGGCACAGGAGACACCGTGTGACCTAGGGCGAGGCCCTTTGCCTCTCCAAGCTGCAGTTTCTTCATCTGCGAAAGGGGACGATACTTTCACTGTCTCACAGGGGTGCGATGGGGATAAATCTAAATACCTGACAAGTCCAAGACACTGGGTACATGCTCGGGGCAGCTAGCTCCGTGTACCATGGTGGCTGGTTCAGCGTGCTGGCTCGATCAGAGGTCAGCGGGGAACTTACACCTCCAGCTCGCAGTGTAGACGTACGCAGGGACTTGAATAAAAACCCCACTCACCTGGACTCTCCTCCTTCCTCTACATGCTCACAGTGCACGGAGTTCACAGAGCTGATCCTCGTGTAATCCTGTGGCGTCAGGTACAGGTACTTGAACCCCTTCCAATAAAGCGGGAAAGAATTAGCTGAAGAAGCTGCCTGCATAGCCATTAAATACACTATTTCCAACAGGCGCCTGCTACTTGCAAAAGTTAAAGTCTGTTACAATACAAGCATAAGCAGCTTGTAGTGCAGTTTTCACTGATTGGTAGTTTAAAAATCTAATAGCTTATATATAATAAAGCTGTAAATGTATTTTGCTAATTTAAGTTTATAAAGAGCACAGTAATGTATTCATTTTATAATGCGTACACACACACACACACGCTCTTATATCGATATACCACCATATTACACGTAACACACTGATACAGCATCACCAAACCGCAATAAAATGTATGCAAATACCCACAAGCGGCTATGAGAATAAACAGAAACCCTTAAATTCATTGGGTAAAATTTTCAAAGCATAGAATTTACTTAGGGTCCTTAAGTCCTTATGTCCCATTCGCTTATGATGAGTTAAGCACCTTAACTTAGGCACCTAGCTCACTTTTGGACAATGAAACTTAGGCTCCTTCAGTCATTTTGGGATTTTTGAAAATTTTGCCCATTGTTATTTTAACCGTAGGGTTATTTGTTAGCCTGGACTGTGAGACAAAAAGAATAAATCTAGCTTTAGACCCATGCACAGCACAAAGAACCCTGCACCACATGCATAGAACTGACCATCAGCCACCACTGAGCCTCTACAATCAGTCCACTGAATTCTCAGGCTGCCCCCTCTCCTGTGGCCTGCTTTGAAAGGGGCATTTTAGTGCCACCTTCTGGTTTCCTGATCCAGTTAGTGGGTTCACCAGACACCGCAGAGAGGGGTGGGGCAGATCCCACAGCCCAAAGGTGGCAGCCAGCAGCCAGCAGACAGGATGCGGATGGAGGGTATGTGGAGTGGGGGGGGGAGGGGGACCTGCTTGTGAGTGGAGCTCTGCAATCGGACTTGTGTATTAACCCTGTATGTTATTGTGACGAACTGAGACTGTTCTTAAAGTAGTCTGTGAATGCTGACAGGGGAGTGTGGCTAGGATGGTCTGCATTGGGGGATGGGTGAATGACTGAAGGGGAATACCTGAGCATGTAACATGAGAACCCAGGAAGGGGGGGAGACCAGGTGACACCTTTGCCCGGGAGACTGAACAAAGGCTGTGGGAGGGGTCGCTGAAGGCAGAGGCTGGGAAGCTGGCTGGTGAGGTGGCTGGAAGGCAGGGAGGGCTCTGACCCCAGGAGGTGGGCTGGGGTGCCCAAGGACCCCAAGATGGACCTAACTGTGGGGTATCCTGTTGTCTGTGCCTGCAAGGCCTGTCTTGGACTGTGTTCCTGTCATCTAAATAAACCTTCTGCTTTACTGACTGGCTGAGAGTCATGGTGAATCGCAGGACGCCGGGGGTGCAGGGCCCTGAGTCCCCCCATACTCCGTGACAGTTATCAAATCCCATTTAATCTCAGGGCTGCTGTTGCATCTTTCAACCCTTCTGATTCCCAAATTGGGTCTTTCGCAGAGAAGGTTTTTTCCCTCCCCCCGACTGTAATGAGACACATGCACCTACCTTGTAGGGATCCATGGGATCCACCCAGGCTACCTGGAACATGTGCTTTATCTCATCTGCAAACCCTATCCGTGCCCCGCTGTTCGCTGCAATGTAGATCCGGGGGACGCCTTCCGAGCGGGCCAGCTGCGAAGCTCGCAGGAAGAGCAGATCCTCCTCGGGCCCGAAGGAGCCAATCTTGTAGGTGATGTCGTTACTGATAACAATGATGTCTCGGCCTTTGGGATACTCAGGGGTTTTCAGCTTCATTTTGAAAGCAACCATCCCAACCTGCTCAAAGAGATATAAAGTCACAAGGGCAAGTTTCTCGAGAGGAAGTAAATACTGGTTTTAGGCTACGCTCTGTTAATCAATGGCTCTTCATACACACACAGCTTCTACTCCCAACAGCATTCTCCAAACTTTAAAATGTAACTCAGGTTCAACTTGCAGAAGTTCAGGCTTCTGATAAAGTGGCTAGAACACCTGGGAAACAGAATCAGTCACAGCTCAGATATGATTCCCTAACCATTTATGCGATTCAATTCATTCCTCCAAGATGCACCACATAACAAACTCTGCACAGCATCTTGCAAGGCAGGAGGAAGGGCTCCACTTGAAAGTGATGCAGCCAAACTAACAACAAAAAAAAGCCTGTGAAATGGGACAATTTTTCAAGCCCTGCCTAACACCTAAGGACTCAGCCATGCTGAGAGGCACCTGTGCCACCACACACCTGTGAGACAAAGGAACAAACTGTTGTGCACCATTTATTGGGATTATATTTACTTGTAACAGGTCAATCAGCTCTCTACATAATGCGTTGGACAGAAGTGCAACTTACATCTCTTCCTTTCATTATTCTGTAACTAATCTCTCTCTCTGGCTCCACTCCATTCTCTCTCTCTTTTCCTTCCTATAACAGATCACGATGAATCTTTTTCTGTGTTGTCTTTGGTGTCTGTTTCCTCCTCTCTCCTTCCCCCCCACACCTCTTCCCTTCTGTTTTCTGTCTTTCCCACTACCATACCATACCTCCCCAGCTCTACACTGTCTCCCACCTACTCATTTTGTTCATACCTCATTTCCTCCAGGTATCCTGTTCATCTCCACCAGCTGCCCCTGGGAATCCAACACTAACTCAGTGTAGGTTAGAACATCTTTGGGGTACATTTCTGTAGAGCCCCACAATTTAAAGATAGCCTGCAAAAGAATCAGTTAAGAGAATTACACACACACACACACACACACACCAGATGAGACAGAAACCATGTGCTGAAGCAGTTCAAAGGCTACTGCTGCCCCACAAATGAACATCCACATAATGATATTCTAGTTATTTAAATAAAGAGGGGACAAGAACAATAGCTCAGCTTTGTTTCTTGTTGTACAGGACATTCTGGTGCAGCTCCTTCACTGGCATTCCCCCACTGAAGTCAGTGGAGCTGTGTCAATTGTACATCAGCTGAGGATTTCCATAGAAAACACTTTACATAAATGAACCTGTTTTTATGTTAGTTGGGGGTAGAGAGGGTTCACCCCTCGGCCTCTCCCCCCCCAAACAGGAAAGCTGGAAATGGAACTAGGAAAGGAAATGACAGGAATATTTCCAATGGCTACTTAGCAGGACTTACCTGCTTGAACATTTCAGGGAAGTCGTATACATAGGTAGTGCCTAGCGACTGTGCCTGGAAGCGCTTGGACTGGAGCAGGTCCTTGGTAACGTATGGTGTGTTAATCAGCATCCCATGCTGTGGCCCTTGCTTATCCCCATAGGAGTGAAACATAATCTAAAGGGAAGGTCAGAGAGTCAGTTCCCCTCCCACGCAGGTGAATTGTTCTTTACAAAGTTAATGCACAATCCCTCAGAGTGGTTTAGAAATGTTAGATCAGTTAGTATATGACAACTGCCCTACACGTTCAGTGATAACTGGATTCAATATAAAAGAACAATGTATCCAGCTTGGGTGGGGAAGTCACAGATGATATTGTAATGAACTAGTAGTGTCTGCATGCACCACTGCCCTCTGCTGCTCGGAATCAGAACAGTGCAACTATGTGTCACAAGCCCCATACTCCTCAGAGCTGGCAGCAATTCTCCTCTAGCTTAAGTGGTGCTTTTGGAGCAGGAGGGTCAGAGTTCTGTTCATGATGTCACTTGGAGGTTCCATGTAGCTACAGTGTGCAGCTGAATGACAACTGTGGCCCCAGACTTGTTACAATATTTTCAGGAATTGTAACACCTTGAGTGGCAGCTCCCAGGAAGCCCTGACAGGAACTACTGACTCCAGCCCTAACAGGTGCAGAAGTCCCTCCTGATGCTACCATAATTGAGTAATTGTACTTGCTCAGCTATGGTAACAAGATCTGGTGAAAGGAAAGCCTGGGGGGAGAGAGTCTGAGCAGAGGGGAAACGCTTTCAGACTTTTTTTTTTTTTTTAAATGCACTCTGCATTAGCTCCAGTGTAAATCACGCACATTCCCAGTCCTGGGGTCATTCACTTCTTTGTAGAGACTAATATCCAGGTAGTAGCCGGACTCATTGGTCAGGAAGAGACGGATAGGAATGGCTTTGCCAACAGGAGTCAAACGGATATTGATCTTCACTTCAGCTTGCAGGACCCGGAGTTTCCACAACCTGCTGCCGTAGCGCATCACCATGGAGCGGACAGCCTCCTCGATCTAGGGACACAAACGCCAGACACCTGGGCATGCTTGCCGATCTGGCAGGGGAATCTCAAATGGTTTCATTCAGACAGGCCAATTAGTCTCATGACTACGTAACACCACACTCTAGGCCGTAACATGGCACAAGTCTAAGCACAAGAGCATCTTCTCCCTGTCCTGCTCCTTTTAAGCTTTCACACACAGACATTTAAACGTGTACCAATGAGAAATTGCTAGACGTCCCCCTTCCCTGGCCCTGTACCACCACCTCCCTGCTCTGATCTCCAGCATCACTGCAACACCCTCCCAGTCCCCTCCAGCTGAGCGCAACTTGGTGCTGCCAAACGTGTTTGCCTGACAAGAAAAAACAAACTGGTTGTGTGGAACAAGTTGTGGAATCTCAGTCATTGGAGGTTAAGAGCAGGTTAGACAAACACCTGTCAGGGATGGTCTAGATAACAGGTAGTCCTGCCTCAGTGCAGGGGACTGGACTAGATGACCTATCAAGGTCCCTTCCAGTCTTACACTTCTATTCAATCTCCTCTCTCCCTCCCTGCTTCTCAGTTCCTGACAGCCCAGAAAGCAAGGGTCCAGTGCACCACCCACATTGAGCCCCTGGTGCTGGCAGGCAGCCACTCAGTACCACTCACCAACCATTTTACATGAGAATTCCTGCAGGTCTAAGTTTAACAGACTAATTCATTCCTATGTTAGTGGTCTCAGCATCTCCCCAGCACAAGGCACCTCCACCAGGAGCACGCAGTTAGAACAGGAGGGAAAGCACACAGCGACGCAGCCACATGGAGGTGTTGGGAGTCTGAGTCCTACAGCTAATGGAGTGGAATGGGGGAGAGGGTGGAGGGAGAACGGAACAGCAACAGGATGGTCACTACTTGGGGGAAGAAACTTCTCCCATCCCTCCCAATTGCTGCCCCTATAGCCAAACCTACCACTGTGAAACCTCTGTGTACAGGAAAAAACATGGCTGTTCCATTTTTCGTGCCCATTAGAAGTGAAAAAGAAAAAGTTATTGATTATTTGTATTACCATAGTGCCTTGCAGCCCTGGTCATGGACCAAGATCCTGGGATGCTAGGCACTGTACAGACACAGACCAAAGAGGTGACCACTCCCCAGAAAACTTGTTCTCCACTTTGACAAAGCTCACCTTGGATGGATCCATGATGACAGTAGGCACAAAGTTGAGGAAGATATGGTTACAGTCAGTGCGGACACTGGTGTTGCTGAAGGCCACTTCCAACTCATCCATTGCTTCCAGGAGTAACCGTTCACCCTCGTTCTGCAGGTATTCAAAGGAGGCCTCCTGGAACAGGGCACAAGGCAGCATGTGAGCTGGGAATGGATAGCGAGCGGCAATACCGCCACAGGTAAGACAGAAGCTTGTCCCTGCCCGAATCAGGCTGGTGAGCAAAGCGCAGCCTTAGCCTCCAGCTGTAATACAGAAGCATAGGCCATGGCTGTGACAGGGTCAGAGGAGGGCATTGGCACAGGCAGTCTCCATGTGCCACCCTCCTGTATTAAAAAGGAGCAGAGCTGCAATACGCTCCTTCACAGACACAACTGGGCGTGTAATCCTGAGCTCCTGGCAGGCCAGCCTTCAAACTGGCAAAGTTTGGGCACCCCCCAAAAAAGAAATGCCCCACACCTTGGCTATCCTAGATCACAGTCCTTAAAGCCAGAGTAAAACAACAGCAAGGAAATCATAGCTTTTCCCATTGGGTGTTTCTGAACACTATCCATTAATGCGTCAGCAGCTTGATGGAGGAAAAGGTGATCTCTGAGAGAAAGTGACCTGGAGGTGAGGTACTATTTCAAACCTGTCCCCAATTGGTTGTGGCCAGAAGGATGGTCTTGGGGCTAAGGCACTAGACTGGGATCATGGATATTGGGGTTCAGTCCCCAACTCAGCCACAGACGCCCTGTATCAGCATGGGCAACTCATTTCAATCTCTGCGCCTTAGGCTCCCCAGAGGGCAGCATGCAGTTGTGAGGATAAATTCATCAACGTCTGCGAGACACTACGGAGATGGGGGATAGAAAGTGTCACAGATGGCCGGTAGTTTCTACCACATCTAGCCAACATGCGTCTGCATCTCAGAACCATCCTCACAGCTGGTCCCCATCTTGGCAGCCACAGCAGACTGGCTAAAAATGAGTAGCACATGCCTATTCAGAGAGAGGGGTAGGAATACACTACAGGCCCATCCCTCCCTGCACAACAGTCTTCCAGAGAGCTGTACAGGTCTGGACAAAGCGACAAAAACACTGTGTTAATTTCGAGTCACAGCATAAGGAACACTAAGTCCTTTTACCTTAGTGATGAGATCAGAGTGTCTTATAATGACTCGTATGAAAAACCTGTAGTCAGTAACTTCATTGCCCTCTTCCACTTTGGCAGCTCCTAGATAGAGGTGCATCCTGTGGTTGGCACAGGGGACAGCGGTCAGGTCAAAGTTACGCATCCGATTCAGCTCCAGTTGGAAGGCCAGGGCTGGTTCCAAGTGCCGATAAATCCGGTCTTCTGCAAACTGAGTGCACCCCAGAGAAGAGAGCAAACCTCTGTTTGACTTTGGAATAATTTCACTATTTCTAGAGCTGACTTAAGAGACATCAGACAGTAGAATTGGACAATGAGCCTTACCTCATCTCTTGCTCTAAATGTAAAAAACTTTGGAAATTCGCTCTACAAAAGGGAAAAAAACAGACACATTAACAAAATTAACCCAGCAATGGCATTAAATACAGACAGGAGGCTCAAACAATTCTCACCTGTACTAGCAAAAAGGGCATTTAAACACAAGACAGTGAAGTCACCCCCAAAAGAGGAAGAGCAGCTTGTAACATCTTTGTTCTGAACCCATCCCACCCCCATCAAAAAATTGAGTTGACAAAATAACATTCACATTTTATATTAAGAGTACCCTCCTATAAAGAGCCACACAATAGATATGTCAATCTATTGTTACAGAGGCTAACAGATTGCTTATGCCCAAATAAATGTGTTAGTCTCTAAAGTGCCACAAGGACTCCTCGTTGTTTTTGCTGATACAGACTAACACGGCTACCACTCTGAAACCTGTCAGGTTGCTTATAACCATCCATAACACCTTCTACTGATGTCCTTCTTTTATCCCTCTAACACATAATACTCATGTCTGTAACAGGCTTGTAACATCTAGCCATCATTCATTAGTCTTTAAAAACTATATTGAGTGTACATTTGAAAGCGTGACCAAAATGATACTGCAACTCAAAGTCCTCTCTCTGCTCACCTTCTGCACAATTAAAAATGTGATTCTCCGGAGGCCACAGTCAACAAGGATGTTTTTCTGTATGAAAAGCAGGAGACAAGCGTCACGTCACCGACAAAGCCTTCATGTGCCCAAGGGTATTTTAAGTCACTACCCCCAGGAAAACAGACAACTCTGGCAGACATTACCACTAACTCCACAAATAGGAACATTATACATTGCCTGCCAGGACGGCTGAAGTGACAGCTGTAGTACATCAGGTGAGCATACTGTACAGGAGCTGCACCCCAAGTTTATAAGCAGAATATTGTATGTGGCACAAGACCTTTGACTGAGCAAAGGTTCTGAAGACTGGCACCAGCTCCTCATCCTCAAGGTGGCCGGCCCATCGGATGGCTGTGTTCAGGATGTGGATGGGCTCCTCTTGGATGTTCTGAAAACAAGACGGTGAGGTCAGTCCCAGAAGTGTTCACGCTGTGTCTCCAGAAGGACATGACCAGACGTCAGCCTCACCTTATTGTCCTCTACTTCGTAGAGTGTGGATCGCGCCTCGCTGAACAGGGGACTCTCTGAGGGTGGGTTGGCAAAGCAGGAGATCACTTCATCAAAATTCCTGGCAGAATCCAAACAGGGTGTGGTGGGTAAGTCAGTGATTGTATCAAGCTAGAGAAGTCCTTGCACACAACCCACCTAATACAAAAGCCAACAGCCTCGAACTATGGAGAGTGTTCCCTGAGGACAAGCATTCAGCAGGGAATTGGGTACGTCAGCAGCGAAGGAAAAACTTGCCTGGGACTCAATTCCACAGACTCCCTCTGTGACCTTGGGAGTCACTTGTTAACCTACCCTCCTCCAAAGTTCACAAGGATGTAGTAC